GGGGGCACAGAGCGGGGGCCGGGGGCACGCGGGGCTGGCGTGAGGGGGGAGCAGAGGGCCGAGCCCTAGGGCTCCGTACCAGGGTGGAGGCGGAGGTGGGTCTGGGCCGGAAGGCAGGGGAGAGGGGGGGAACGGGGGAGGGGCTGGGCTCCCCTCACTGCGCCCCCTTCACTTCCCCTCCTGGGGTCCCACGTGCGGGCCCGCGGGCTGCGGTGGGTGACAGCTCAAGGCCCCACTCAACCCGGCCAGGCACTCACCATCATCCGATTGCCATCCTTTTCCGCTTGGCCGACTGAGGCTCCGTGGTCAATTCATTTACCCAACGTCACCCAGGTTCTTTCTGGGCCTTGGAACAGAGTTCAACCCCCCTCGCCCCGCCCCCCCAGCCCCAGCTCAGAGCCACTGGTTCTCATGGTTTTGAAAGGCTGTGTGATTGAGGGGAGTGGACGGGGGAAGCACGGCTTACCTTGGTGGAAAAGTTCCAAGTTCCATCCAGTCCCTGGGCTGCTCTCTGCCAGGCCCTTCTCTGCTTCTCACGGGAGGAAACTGAGGCCCAGCCAGAGGAACAGATTGATTGTCCAGGGCTGTCCATCCCTGGTTGGAGATAGTCTGAGGTGGGCTGGACTCCTGGTCTCCTTCTGGCCTGCTCCGCCATGTGGTTTTTGAGTTCCCACGCGTGGCCCACCACCCACAGTGGGTGCTCCTGTCTCCCCAGCCTTGCCCTCCCCCTCCCCTACAGGCCACCCCCACAGCAGCTGGCCTGTCATTGGAAAGCCCCAGGGGAGGGCAAGGTGGACATCACAGTGAAGCAGAGCCAGACTGGCCGCCCCAGCCTCTGAGGATGTCTGTTGCCTTCAGCCCACCCTCCTGGGAGAACCTGGGGCTTGGGGAACCTGGACTAGAACCAGGTCCTGTGGTCCTTGGGGTAGGAGGGCTGGAAGCAGTGTTTCTTGGATTCCTCCTTTGTGACAGACTGTATTCAGGGCCACTTGCCTGCTAGCATTACTCAATCTCCACAAGACCTGGTGTCCTTGCTGGTGCCAGAGGCCCACGCCTGTAATCCTAGCTACTCAGGAAACTAAGATCTAAGGATCGTGGTGCGAAGCCAGTCTGGGCAAGGAAGTCTGTCAGCCTCTCATCTCCACTAAAGTACTGAAAAAGCCAGAAGTGGAGGTGTGACTCAAGCAATAGAGCATTAGCCTTGAGCAAGAGAAGCTCAGGAACAGCGCCCAGGCTGAGTTAAAACCCCCAGGACCAGCACGAAATGAGAGTTAGGTGCTGTATCTGCAGAGATCTTCTGAGGGTACCAGGGGTGAAGCCAGGCTTCCGGAGCCCAGCTCAGGGCTGTATCCATAGGAGATGGGACCCTTTTCTCTCTTGAACCCAGTGTATGGTAGCTAGGCAGTAAGACAGATCAAAGAAATCTGTGGCAATGCATGGATCCCAGGGGCCAGCATCCAGGCTGGGTAATGTCACTGGCCGGGAGCCCAGAGCCCTATAATATACCTTGTTTTTCCTCCCTTGGGGCCTGGCTTCCTTCCCCTGCTTCTGCTGATGTGGGTCCCCTCCACCCCAGACCAACCCAGGAGAGAAACCGCAGCTGCCCATGATGAAACCCAGACAGGTGAGTCAGAGATGGATGAAACCGGGACAGGCTTCAGGAGCTCTGTCGCCAGCGGTGACAGCAGAGGGGCAGCTGGTGCCGAGGTTGGATGGAGGCTGGACTCAGGAGGATGCTGAGGTAGCTGGGGTGAACTCGTAGGCAAGAAGTAGGGTGTTAATGGCAGGCCATTATTTCAAGTTGAGGGGTGTGTGTGTGAGAGAGAGAAAGAGAGATGCAATGCTGGAATCAAACCTTAGATACGTTAATAACTCAGGTAACTCCACTCCACCAAGCTATATCCCCTTCCTCATTTTGTCTGTCTGTCTACCTGTCTCACACACACTCTACTGGGAATTAAATCCAAGGCTTTGTGCTTGCTAGGCAAGCAGACTACCAATTGAGCCTTTATTTATTTATTAAAATTTTTCCCCCTCTGGCAGGTTAATTGAAGATAAGAATTTCACGTGTGTGTGTGTGTGTGTGTGTGTGTGTGTGTGTGTGTGTGTATTTTTTTTTCTCCAGGCTGGGTTTGAACCTTTTTTTTTTGTCATAGGACTTGAACTCAGGGCCTGGGGACTGTGCCTGAGCTCTTTTCCTCAAGGCTAGCGCTCTACCACTTTCATTCACAGCGCCACTTGCGGTTTTCTGGTAGTTAATTGGAGATGAAGAGTCTCATGGACTTTCCTGCCCAGGCTGGCTTTGAACTGCAATCCTTAGGTCTCAGCCTCTTGAGTAGTCAGGATTATGTCTTCAAACCTTAATATTTTATATATATACATATATATATATATATATAGTGAAAATACTGCACAGAGGGGTTACAATTACATGAGCAAGATAATGAGTACACTTCCTATCAAGCATTGTAGTCTCCTCCTTTGTTTCCCCTTCCCATCCCATCCCCCCCCCAACCTTAATCTTAAGAGTTCATTCTTCTAAGTAGTTAGGATTTACAGGCAGGAGTCACTGATACCTGGCTTAATTTTGTTTCTGAGAGTGTCAGTAACTTTGCCTGGGCTGTCTTGGAGCTCACAGTCTTCTCGACTTTGCTTGAGTAGCTGTGTTTACAGGCATGCGCTACTGTAGACACCTGGCCCCATTTAGACTCACCAGGCTCACTTTGTAGATGGGAAGGCTGAGGCCCTGAAGGATTGCACACCTTCCTCTGCCGTTGCTGGCTGGAGTAAAGTCATTTACCCTCAGCTCATTCCTGCTGGGTCCCACCTCTGCCTGGAGGACTTAAGTTTGAAAATACTGCTTGGAGAAGCATCTGAGTTGTATTTATTTTGTGTGTATGTGTCCAGCCTCTCACATGGACTTGGCACATGGACAGCCTTCACTTTTTAGGGGCTCCCAAAAGGCTCACCCCAGTACAAGTCTAGTCTGAGAGCTTCCAGGGAACATTGTGGCTTTGTCCTGTCCTGGAGGAGCCTCCAGACCCAATGTGGGAGATGAAGAAAAGCATTCAAAATGCTGAGCACCTGTGGTACACATCTGTATTTGCAGCTACTCAAGGAGGCTGAGATCTGAGGATCAGGGTTTGAAGCCAGCCAGGGCAGGAAAGTCCAATTAACCACCAAAAAGCCAGAAAGAGAATAGCTCAAGTGGTAGAGTGTGAATGCTTGAGCAAAAAAGCTCAGAGACGCGATGGGAAGGGGCTCAGTGGTAGAGTGCTTGCCTTGCATGCCGGAGGCCCTGGGTTTGATTCCTCAGCACCATATAACCAGAAAAAGCTGGAAGTGGCGCTGTAGCTCAAGTGGTAGAGTGCTAGTCTTGAGCTAAATTGCTGAGACCAGGACCAGAGTTCAGGCCCCAAAACCAGCAAAAAAAAGAAATAATAAAAGCTCAGGAACAGTGCCCAGGCACTGAGTTCAAAGTCCTAGGACTGGCACCAAAAAAAAAGAGTCTGGAGGAAGATGCTGTTATGATTCTCAGAGTACAGATGAGGAAACTGAGGCACAAGGGGCTTTACTCCCTGTCCTGACATCTCCTTTGTTACCATTGACCCTGCCCCAGGGGGTTATCCATTTGGGGAAGTCATTACAGAACTTGGGGCAGCAGGTGGAGAGGTTTGAGTTCTCTGGGTCTAGGCCCAGGATGGCCCTGGCCTGGAGCCCAGGAGTCTGGCAGAACAGACAGAAAGCAGGTGGGCAGGCCCTGGTGCTGTGAAGCCAAATCTTCCACCTTGAGGCCCTGCCGGCTGGCCAGAGCTCTGCTGGGACTGCCAGGAGACTGGAAAGGGGTGCCCATCCTGGGGAAAAGCCCCAGAAATAGTACATTCCATCCTTGGCCTGCATCTGGCATTCTGGGATGTTGGCATTCACTCGCTCAGGAAGCTGTGAGGTCGGAGTTTAGACTCGTGAAAGACCGGCCAGGAAGATCTGCGACCTTAGGCAGGCACTTAGTGTGTCAGTGACTCAGTTTCTCCACCTATAAAAAGAGGACAAAAGGCAGATACCAGTGGCCAAGCCTGTAGTCCTAACTATTCAGGAGGGAGAGATTGCAGATTGAAGGTAGCCCAGGCAAGAAAAGCCGCAAAATGCTGGACTGTAAGACACGGCTCAAGTGGTAGAGTGCTACCCAAGCAGGTAGGAGACCCTGAATTCAAATGCTGATACTGACACAGAAGGGGAAGGGGATAAAAGTTCACTTCCCTCCTAGGGCTCAAATGTAGTGATGAAGCCAGACACCTTATACTTGTAATCCTAGCTACTCAGGAGGCTGAGATCTGAGGGTCACAGTTCAGAGCCAGCCTGGGCAGACAAATCTGCAATTTTTTCTTTCTTGTGCCAGTCCTGAGGCTTAAACTCGGCCGAGTATTATCTGTTAGCTTTTTTTTGCTCAGGGCTGATGGTTCCCAGCCCCATATCCAGATTTTTGGTGGTGAATTGGAGATAGGAACCTCACTTTCTTTCTTCCCAGGCTGGTTTGGAGCCTCAGATCTGAGTCCCCTGAGTAGCTGGAATTATAGATGTGCGCCACCAGCACCCAGCATGTGCTGGCAGGTTTAAAACCCACTAGACTGCATCGTAGGCAAGAGAGTCAGCCAATGTATGGCCCAAGGAACCCAAGATTTGTTAGGGCCCTGACAGAGCAGAGAGAGAGGAAGAGATCTAGGAGAGGGGAGCACTGTGTGTGGGAGTATGCGTGGCCACGGGTCTCTCTTCCAGCCCAGCTTCCCGAGACAGATGGAGGTCGTGTCCCTTTCAGCAGGTAGCCTAGCCACTGTCAGGTTATGAGGGGACTTTGGGGCCTGGCTGCCTGTGTGCAGATCCTGGTGTTGCAACTTCTTTTCTTTTTCTTTTTGTTTTTTTGGGTCCGGTCGTGGGGCCTGAACTCTGGGCCTGGGCGCTGTCCCTCAGCTCTTCAGCTCAAGGCTAGCGCTTTACCACCTGAGCCACAGCGCCACTTCCAGCTTTTTTTCTTTTTTGCTTATGTGGTGCTGAGGAGTCAAACCCAGGGCCTCAGGCATGCAAGGCAAGCGCTCTACCACTGAGCCACCTTCCCAGCCCTTGCAACTTCTTTTCTCATGACAGAAACTTACATGTCCTCCCTGATTCTGGCTGCTGTTGAGCTTGTGGATATGTGTGTGTGTGTGTGTGTGTGTGTGTGTGTGTGTGTAGTTCTTGGAGCAACCTGTAACATGCAGAACACAATTCACTATAAGGGAATTGTGTACATTATTGCTGCTGTTTCTTGAAAGCAGGAATGGAGCCTGAGACTCACAAGTTCCTTTGTCTTCCCCCCCCCTCCCCTGCCACCTGGCTGGCGCGCGCGTGTGCACACACACACACACACACTATGCTGGCTTTTTCCACCCATGAAATATGATACCCTTCCTGTCCCCAGCAGCTCCCTTTTGGCCAGAGGGCCTCAGAGCTGGTGGCTGGGGTTCTCCTACGTTAGGGGGAGTCTCTCCCAGATGTGAACAGCCCTTTTCTTTTCTGGACCGGGGTGGAGGGGTTAGGAGAGGAGGGTTTTCCTTTCTCCACCTGCCTATGGTATCCAATCTGCCCTCCGCCCTCCTCCCTCCCCCGCCCCCTGCCCAGGTCGTGAGCCAGCACTGGTGCCGCCAATCCCTTCTGGGCTGCCTGGCGCCAGCCCCCTGCTCTGAGGTGGTTCAACCACTGTCCAGCCTCAGCCAGCTCTGGCTAGCTGGTCCCCTTTGTTCTTCTAGCAGGGGCTCTTGAGGTCCTGGGATGGAGGAAGGGAGGGCCTTACCTGTCTGTCACTGGCCTGGCTGTTTGCTGGGTCTGTTCTGGAGCGGGGGGGGGGGGGGGGGGGGCCCTGGGCTCTGAGGGAACTGAGACTCCTGCATCCAAGTTGAGTGCTGCTGCCCCTGCTGCTGCCCCAGAAGCCCAGGGTTGGTGGCAGGGAAGGACTGTCATTATTAATGGCCTTGGGTTCTGGAGAAAGGTTAGACAAAAGGGACACTGAAGGAGCCATGGCAGGAGAGGAGCCCCAATGACAAGGAGGAAGACCAGAAAGAAGGAACAAAGCATGGCACCTAGCGTAATGGCCTTGAGTACCGGAGAAGGAAGACACTGACTGGCTCTTAGCGCATGCTGAGTGTGGACTTTCACAACTCATCTCATTTAACTGGTCCACTATCCCCACTTCACAAGGGGGAAACTGAGTCTCAGGGAGGCTAGGGACTTACCCACATTCACACAGCTGATAGGAAGCAGAGCTGCAATTGGAAACAAGTAAGGCCAGCTCCAGACTTCCCACATCTCAGACTTCATAGCTCCCACAGCTTTTTCTGGGGAATTTTTCTAGAAGGTTCTGTCATAGAAGGGAAGCTACACTTCACAGCATGAGAGATACTCTAGCTGCTGCCTTGTTCACTCGTGATCTAAGAACCAGGGTTCAAAGCCCCAGACTGGGCAGAAAAGGGTGGGACTTTATTTTCTAATTGATCAGTGAAAAACCAGAAGTGGAGCTGCAGCTCAAGTGATAGTGTGGCAGCTTTGAGCAAAAAATTTATGGGAAAGTGTAAGGCCCTGAGTTCAAGTCCTAGTACTGATATGCACATACCCCCTCCCACCCTGCCTCAAGTAGCAACAGCTGATCTGGCCAAAAGATCAGGAGTAGACTGATGAGAGGATTTCAAGTCAGTGTCAGCCTAAAAAACATTCTATTTGGAAATCTAGGACCATACTAGACTTGCGAGAAAGATTGTTGGAGTAGATTAGTGATGTCTACTCTGGGTATAGAAATGGGGGTACTGGAGTGGATTAGTAATGTCTGCTCTGGGTATAGACATGGAGAATATTGACCTCTGAGCTTGTATTTGCTGTCTGACATTGCCCAGAGAATTCCTGATGGTCAGAATTTAGAGAAAAATCTTTCTGTCCACCCCATGCAAAGCCTGAGCCCCCAAAACCTAAGGACTCAGCCCCACAGGGCTGGGTGCAGAACACCTCTCCTGTGGGTGCTGATTGACGTGTCAATTACCAAGTGGAAGAACCCCCCCACAAGAGCATATGGGGAGACTTGGGTGATGACCCCAGTGTGGTCATTAACCTGAGAAACCTCCAAACGTAACCTGTCCTGCCAGGATTTGATAGGTCACCGCACACAAGATCCCTCTTACTTTCTCCCCTACCCTCATTTCTGTCTTTCTTGCCCTTCCCTGTCCACAGATAACCTTTTAGTTCTCACCGTGGCTACCAAGGAGACGGAGGGCTTTCGTCGCTTCAAGCGCTCGGCCCAGTTCTTTAACTACAAGATCCAGGTAAGCGGCTTCCCAGACAGGCAGAGACTGAGAAGTGTGGACGGTACCTGGAAGCTATTGTCCTCTCTTCGTACACATCTCCTGAGACAGAACTAGTAGGCTACAGGGAAGTTTCTGGAAGTCTGACAAGGGGAACATGAGTCAGGACAAGGAAGGACCAGGAATAAGCAAGTCCTAAGAGGAGACCACGTGTAGCCAGGCTCTAGTGGCTCACACTTGTAACCCTAGCGACTCAGGAGGATGAGATCAGAGGATCGTGGTTTGAAGTCTGTGAGACTTTTACCTCCAATAAAATAACAAAAAAGCCAAAAGTGGTCTGGAGACTTTCCTTGTAAAGGAACATTCTCAGTCCACTGGGGGTTGGGGAGACAGGGGCTGGTGACTTCCATGTGCAGGCCACAGGGCTTAGAGAAATTCCTCCTCTTAGCTCTCCTGGTGAGTGTTTAGTACAGGGATAGAGTGGTGGGTCCAGAAGGAAAGCATATTAATTCACAGGAAGTGGGTGCTAAAAAGCAGAAGGTTGTTTCAGGCATAGCTGGATCCAGGGTTTCAAGCCATAAAGTTGGGGCTCAGACTTTGTATTTCTAGGAATTCTGCTTGTTTTCCTTTACAGGCATGCTCTGTCTACATTGTGGACAGATGATCACCAGCCACAGACTATCTTCATAGAACAGGATAGCCTTCCAGTCATGGGGCTTGAACTCTGGGCCTGGGCGCTGTCCCTCAGCTCTTCAGCTGAAGGCCAGTGCTCTACCACTTGAGCCACAGTTGCCACTTCCAGTTTTCTGGTGGTTTATTGGAGATAAAAGTCTCATGGCCTTTCTTGCCCAGGCTGGCTTTGAACCTCCATCCTCAGATCTCAGCCTCCTGAGTAACTAGGGTTACGGGTGTGAGCTACTGGCTCATATCTTTTAAAAGACTAGTCCCAGGGACAACTTTGATAGATTGTGGTTGGGTCACATGCTCAGACCTAGCTGTGGGTGGGACAGGAAGGATTGGGCATTCTGATTGGCCAGGTTTTGGTCACATGACAGCTTCAAGAGGCAGGCCAGCTTTGAACAGTGTAGGATCTTTGGTTTACCTGCAGAGGTGGGCCAGAGATGCGGGAGAATCAGAAGCAAAGATGTCCACTGTCTAGGTGGGGAGTGGAAAAGCATTTCTTTATCAGAAGCTGACGTTAAGGGCCTATGTCTCCAGGCTCTGGGCTTGGGGGAGGACTGGAATGTGGAGAAAACGTCAGCAGGTGGTGGGCAGAAGGTTCGGCTGCTGAAGAAAGCTCTGGAGAAACTTGCAGACAAGAAGGACCTGGTCATTCTCTTCACAGACAGGTCGGTGGCCTGGGTTTTTGTTGCTGTTCATTTCGTTTTGGTGCCAGTCCTGGAGCTCGAACTCGGGGCCTAGGTGCTGTCCCTAAGCTTTTTTTCCCTCAAGGCTGATGCTCTACCATTTTTGCCATGCCTAGAATCCAGCATTTTGCTAGTTGGCTTTGAACCACCATCCTCAGATCTCAGCCTTCTGAGTAGCTAGGATTCTCAGCACCTGACACAAGCCATGTGCTGAGTGTAACCAAGGCACAGTCAATGGCGACCATCTCTCTGACTGGGGTTAGGAAAATGTAGCAGACCTGAGGGTGGATTCATTTCAGAGATGGTGGCCTGGGGCTGTTGTGGGGAATGCGCGCATCAGTCTGTCTGTCTTCTCCTTGTTCTGGCTACAGCTATGATGTGGTCTTTGCTTCGGGGCCACGGGAGCTCCTGAAAAAGTTCCGGCAGGCCAAGAGCCAGGTGGTGTTCTCTGCTGAGGAACTCATCTACCCAGATCGTAGGCTGGAGGTCAAGTACCCGGTGGCCCCTGATGGCAAGAGGTTCCTGGGCTCTGGAGGTGAGAGGTCAGGCACAGAGCACGAGGCCCAGCAGGGGGCCGCTTTGGGAAAGCACCCCCCCACACACATACACAACCTGGTACTGCACAGATCACCAATGCACATCCCCACCCTGCACTACCACTGGGGAGTCCAGTCACCTTTCAGTGGCTGCCGGGAGGAGTGGAGTCAACTTTCTCTTGCCTTGTCCTCCCCCACCTTCTGTCCACTGTGGATCACATTCCTGCTTCCAAAAGATCCCCCTGCATCTTCAGAAAGATTTCAGGTGTCTCCCCTGTGCTCTGTACCCACCACCTACCAGGCCTCAAGCTCTCCTGACTCCTGGTACTTTCTAGTTGTCTGCTTTCTTCTCCCTCCTTCCCCCTTCTCCCTTCTCCTTTCTCCCTTCCTCCTCCCTCCCTTCCCCTTCTTTTCCATTCTTCTCCTCCCTTCTTCTCTGTTCTTCTTCCTTTTCCTTTTTTTTTTTTTTTGGTCCAGTCGTGGGGCCTGAATTCTGGGCCTGGGCGCTGTCCCTCAGCTCTTCAGCTCAAGGCTAGCTCTCTACCCCTTGAGCCACAGCGCCACTT